GTCGTGGCGATGTAAATTGTTAAAGAGGAATCAGAAAAAAGAAAAAAACAAAGAAAAGGAAGAGAGACCTTAGAGTCATGTAATAAATTTCACACAAACGGCATGTATATATTTATCTGTTGCTTCGCAAATGAGTACAAGCCTTTGCACATTATTTATAATAAACGCTTCCTTTCTCGTATATACAACGGAAACGCGCCGCTCGAATCCGCAATCGTAGGCTACGGCGCTACGGAAATCTGTGAAAATCTATGACGACTGTCATCTCGCGCGCGTCTCTCTCTACCGTATCTCGTTGCAAATTTTGATATACAAATTATTTGGCAGCCAATCGTCGACAATTATACATCCTTGCAATTGCGGATTCCGCCGAGATCGAGCGCTCGAGAAAGTCCAAACATATTTTACTACTGTATTATTACGTCATATGTTATTTTAATCTTTAAAAAAAAAATATATATATATATATATATTATTGTCCTCTTTGCTATTATGTATACATGTATTATCAATTAGCATCTAGAAGAACTTTATACATATTGTACATATCAAACGCTATTCTGTTACGAATAAATGTTTAAATCGTACTTACCCTCTTCTCCGAGATTTGTACCGATGTATCTTCTGCATCCGGATCGACCCGGTAAGTAGTACATATTCAAATAATAAATAAATAATTATTTTTTAAAAGATGTATTTCAATATTTTACGACAGTTAGTCTGTGTATAATCGCGTAAGAACTTTGTACACATTTGTTTCGTTTAATAGCGGAAATCGTTTTTCAAACGTCATCTAGGAGATTCCGCGTCGCTCGCATACTGCTCCATCGACTCGAGATGCGTCAATAGCATATTATCTCGCGTTCCAAGAGCAACGAATAACCAAGCAAAAACTGCGAGAAGATCTTTCGACATTGTTATCTTTTGCCAGCCCTGTAATTCTTCAAGTAAAGTTTCTTGCGCTGTATTCTGGAAAATTATTATACATATAGATACACAAATTGAGAATTTTTTATGGGCAATTTTGTGCTAGTTAATTAAATTGTCGCAATATGCTTACGTTTGACCACATGGTTTCATTGATATTGCGATAATGCATTAGAGCTAATTGATCATCGATCTTTAACGACGCTTGGTGAAAGCTAAACGTTAGTAGATAAAGCGGAATAGCGATCGCCGTTTTCGCATGATCCATATAGATTTCACGTAAGTGATCCATATCAAGTCGCGCCAAATCGAATCTGAAATCGTAAATATTTCCTCTAAAATTAGCGATACCTAAACACGAACGTTAAAATATAAGCAAATTCTTTTTTAGCATCGAGCATACTTATCGAAGATGGAGATGACACAGAGAGCGATTAAAAAGGAAAATATATTTGTATAGACTTCGGAAAAAATTGAATATTTCGATATGAATTCCATCGAAGCGTTGAAAAAGATATGAATCTGCAAATTGACAAAGCACGGATAATATTTGAAGTGAACGTAAGTATACGGTTATATATACATGTATATCGCGATTTGCATTAGATAAAAAGAAAGTACTTTACCATAATGAAATGCAAAAGTGCCATTCCGCCCAAAAGACCCTGATAAACTAGTCCCGTGCACCTCCAAAATTTCTGGGCAGTGATTGCCACTTTTATGAGCGTGTGCATTTGAGTTTCCGCGGAATCGCGATCCTTTCCATCTTCTGTTACACGTGGCGTATCATTTCTCAAAGCACGTCTCGATCCGCCAATTTTCACAGCGCTAAACCCACTCCTGCCTTGAATATAAATTGTGTCCGTAGTCAATTCCGGCAGCGGCACAGGTTCCTCATACTTTGTGCGTACATTTTCTTGAGCTTTCTTCAAAATTTCCGTGATAGGTACTTCATGATCGTCCGCTTGCCGTAGAAAATTATTAATTTTAAATTTCACTGTTGCATGGCAAATATTAAGATTTGTATAGCACATTAACACGCGCGGATGTAAGATACATCCTTTTTAAAACATTAATATATTTATTCCCCTTTTTATTTACTGTATCGGATTTCTCTTTAAGATTTGTAAATTCTTAACAGAATGGAATTTTATCAATTTTTTTATTTAATCTATAATTTTTGTTTGCAAGATATAAAATAATATATTTACCTCGGGAAACAATCTTTTTTCTTTTTCGCGATTTATCAGTGAAATTATCTTCTTCACTGTAATGTTTTATAGAAGATCCGGTGTCGGTTCGATTATGATCGCGATCTGTCGTGCGAGGCTGTTCTCTAAATTTTCGTCTTTCGATCCGTTTACTGCGTTTCCTCCTTCTTCCTTCAAGAGATCTCGATGTAGTTCTTTCTTCGCTCTCGCGAATGTCAGAGTAACGCGCTTTTCCATGAACATGTCCCTCAGTTCTACGAGACTTAACATTACTCTTAACATCTGGCGACTCGGAGATAGTTTCTGTATCTTCGGTGTTGTCTTGTTTCCCGAAAAAACTCTGAGATGTTGAATGAAGAATTCAATGGTAATGCATTTTTTTATTTATGCAAATATATCTGATATTTTTCAACTTGCATAGTTCAAATAAAATGCCAACTAAAGGTTTACCAAATTGAATCGATACAACATTATGTCGCTGTATTTCGAGAGCAAAAAACATATTGCCAATGTTAATCCGGAATTAATAATTTATTAATTTTTAATGAAATTATTATAATGGATATAATTTATAATTATATTGTGCCTAAAATTAAAATTGACTATGAAGGCATTATAAGATTTTAAAATTTTAGCTTCATAAATAATACAAACTGTTTTGATATTCCGGTTGTAGGATCGGCCGGACTCTTCTGAGCTGGTCCATCGTTTCTGCGACGGTGTACTGCCCCGTTTCACGTAGCTGTCATTTTCATCGATCGTCGTAGATCTTCGTCCACGCGAAGCACGATTTCCGTGTATCATTTTAGATCCCGATGCATCACTCATTCAGCTGTCTTCCTATCGATTCGCGATCATTTCGTAATCAATTTCACACGTAAGTCCCACAAATTTTCTTCGTAAAGTATTTGCACAATACTTATTGTGTGTTGATTGTATTGTAAACCACTCAGCCTGCCCTTGGTCCTCCGCCATATTTGTCACTTGTATATATACATGTATTCCTTTTTAAATCTTACATATGAATAACACATAAGTGACAATTGCACCAATTCACTTCGCATCTTCTGCTTCTTCTTTGTTTTTAGTTGGCCTGGACTGACCCTATAATAAGCGGCAGGTCAAAATAAGCCGGCCATCAACAGGTAGACTTTGCATCTCAATGGCTGCATTCAGCGGAAAAACATGTTTAAAACAATTCAACTCTTAGCTAATCGCTGCGCGCCTGTCTGGGCTGTCCAGGATTCTGTCACGAGGCGTCCGTAGTAACGCTTTGTTGTGCTTACAAAGCTCTGTGGAGACCAGCTCGAGAAATCAATGCAGCGAAGTTACCAATGAAAAATTATCGAAATTTTATTTCGCACTATTTATCCATTAATCAAAAAAAATTTCATAAAATTTCATTATCATATAAATGTTTTTACTATTTAAAATTTGTTCTCTTTTTGTATATATATAACAGAACTTGTATATCTCTATGAGAAGATAGATGAATAGCAGAGGGAACTTTTACTTTAATTTTTAAAGCATAGAACATACATATATCAAAATATTTATAAGAAATCTCTATATACTTATTATACTGATACTGGTATGTAATAATCTTTGCAGCACAGCTGTCAAGAAACACGGTAATGTCTCGTGCCAAGTTCATGCGAAGCCGCGAGGCACTCCGGGTCCCTATACGCGAATCGGCCAGTTGCGAGTACACACATAACTTACATAAAACATTCACAAAAAGTGATTTTTCTCGAATACTAAATGAAATAGCTTCTATTTTAAAGTAGAACCATTTGTTTAAATAATTATCATATTAAAATAATATTTTAGATTAAAAAATGTTACAAATAATAATTTACATCTATATACAGGAGGAGAGGAGAAAGAGAGAAAGTTTACAATTTAGACTTAACTTAATCTATTCTATGTCAACGGGAATTTTTATAGAATTTCTAAATCACAATGTCGTATTTCTGGATGATTTTTCTGAAAATATGAAAAAGAATTATATCATTAACAATTTTAAATTATTATAGATAATGGCTATATAGATTATCGAGTTGAATATATACCTTTAGTTTTAATTCTATTCTATCAATTTCTCCACCGAGCATGTCTACAATATTTTCACCGTGTTTCAATAAGAACGCCTCTAATTCCTCAATATTGTGCATACTTTTCACTTCCTGAAATGAGGAATTCGATACTCATTGATATAGTATTACAGCACATTAAATAAAGATGAAAATATTATGTCTATACCTCCAGCATTGTAATAAGATCATGCTTGTCTAGGTAAGATCTTGTAAGTTCTCGTCCGTCAAAATCTAATTCAGCTTTGTATCGCACTAAATGATTACCCATGTCGATGCCTTTCACATCGTGAATCGCACGGACCTAAATTTGGCATAAAAATATCTAAAAATCAATATATTCAAAAAATATATTGGATATTGCATAGATAATATTTTCAGGCAAAGTTACCATTATATCTGCTTCTAATTCGGCATTAATTTTATCTAGATTCTCTTGTGATATACTCCTTCCTATGAGCGCAGCAACGTTCGAATAAATTATAAAGGACGCTACTCCACCGAGCAAACCGCCTACCAGAAGCGAACCAAAGGCGTCGAACATTGAATTTTCTAGATATGAAGTTAAACCCATACATCCTGCTGCCACAATAACTCCAAGTACCTGAATGGACATCAGGATTATAAATATCTCCGAGAATACATAAGATATTTAACTCTTTAGGATTTAATGGACTTTCGAGACATGCTAAATATTTTTTTTTGAACATAATCGGTTTCTCTAAATAAAATTTTATCTTTAAAATTAGCAGGACTTTATGTTAATATTAATTTAAAATCAAAATTTAAGTTATGAAGAGCTGGGAAAAAGTAAAAAAGATAATAATTCTTACAGCTGCAAAATCTTCCATGAGCACAACATTCACAGATGGATCCTGTCCTTCTAAGACAAATTGTTTAAAGCTTTCTTTTCTCTCCTCTGCACCCCTCTTGATAGAATGCAATGCTATCATTAATGTCGCTCCTTCTGACAGCAAAGATCCACCTAGAACGAAGTACGCCCAAAAAAAAGAATCCAACGGCGCGGGAAAAAGAAGACCATGAATTCCGTGATAGAAGGAAAGACCCGTGCCAACGCAAAAAATTCCCACACCTGATATCAATGAAGAAACGTACTTCATGTTTGTATAACCATATGGGTGATCGGAATCAGGATTCTGCAAAATTATTTGGATGATTAGATTAGAAAAACTACTCAGAAGAGATCCTAGAAGTACTTGAAATAATTCGACTTACCTGCACCGATTTATGAATACCATAGGCTAGAATTAGTTGATTACAAGTATCCGCTGCAGAGTGTATACACTCGGAAAACATACTATGCGAGCCAGTATATAACCAAGCAATTAATTTGCACAAGAAATTACTAGCATTTCTGAAAAAAAAAAAGAAAGTATATTAATCAAGGAAATTTTACAATTGTATGATAAGCATAAATTCAGCTAAATCATGGTTAGGCATCTATTCAATACATACATGGCTATTGCAGTCAATACTACTTTGCCAGATCTTCCAAAAAGACCCTCCTCCTGAATTATCTCTGCCTTGTTACCAATTTCTCGTCTGTAATCTCTCAATCTCCGTTTGACCGTAAAAACATCTGTAATGAAAAGCTTAGGTTTCAATCTTTGTACCAATTATTATTCTATCAAGAAAATATGTCTATTATACTATCAGGATATATGTGACTGATCCTGTAAGATAGATGAACAACCTCTGAACAAATATTCTTTGTCTTGAAGAGACCAGAAAATAGTTCTGTTTTATAAAAGTAATAACTTTAAACAACTAAACACAAATGAACAAAATTATGTATAAAAATATATATATATATATATATATTTACTTTGCTGATAAATTTTTCGTTCTACTTCTTTTTTCAAAAGTTCTTTTAGCAAAGCCTCTCGAGATCCCCAGACTTCCAAAGCTCTATAAATAAATAAAACTTTAATATTTAATTATATTGCATTTGTAATTGTAATATATATATATAAGAATCAAAAAGTTTATTAAGTAGATGAATAAAATTTTCTCACTTAGCCTCAACATCTTTCCTCCAGTAGACTGTAATAGGTGGTTCAAGCTCATAGGGGGAGCGTCTCTTTGTTTTTGGTAAAGATTCCAAATCAGAAGGCTTTAATAAAAAATCTGACATTGCTCTCACAGGGGTAATAAAATTACGTTCCAAAGAAGATGTCGATTTATCTACTCTGATTCTCTTTTTCGCTACAAATGTCAGAAATTAGTTTCAATAATATATAAATCAATATTTAATATATTATACCTTTTTTTGACATAACATCATCCTTTGACAATTCTTTGGATTCTGCAGATTGTTTTTCAATAAATTTTGTTGCTTCTTTTTCCTTTTCCTTATCATTGCTAGAATCAATTAGTTCTATGTTTAATACTCTCTCTTTTAATTTACCTAGCTTATCTTCATTTAATTCTATTATCTTCTGCTGAACATCTTCAGCCAATCTCTTTTCAGACTTATCCTTTTTAATCTTTGCTTCATCAGATGAAAATTTTGCTATACCAATCCATCTGCCGTCTTCGTACCTGCCTATCTTTTTGTTAGCAAAGACTTTCTGAGAATACAAAAGCTTCTGTACTTTGTATTGTACACCATACTTGGGCATTATTAAAATACTGGCATGTCTTTTATTTAATCCAATCTGGAATATGCATAACTGATCGGCATGGTATTGGCATGTCATGTTTCGAATAAAATTCAGATGGTTATAGAAGCGATACATCTTTCTTTCTTCTACTCTTTCTTTATCAAAAAATTTATTGTTCTAGATATGCATCATTTAATCTATAAAAGAATAAATTGGTTAAACAATATTATTCTTAAAAAAATAATAAATTTTTGATTATATATAAAACAAAATATTATTTTCAAAAAATATATAATTGTAACGTGATAAAGAAATAGAATATATTTATGAGAACGTACATTACAAAATCGCATTTATCTTTCCCTTCTGTCAAACTTATTTACAGTAAATACATCATTTAAGACAGCTATAATACTGGTATTGAACTGGGTCTTAACAATAAACTAGTAAAAAACAAGCAATAATTGAACTGTCTTAAATTTAATAATAGAACTTTCAACTGTCAATAATCATATTCGCCGCATGGATATAAGAAAAAACAAGACATAACGTTGTTAACCTTGAACCTTGAACGCGTTATGGACTACATTTACACGTCACTCTAAACGGATTTAATAACATCTGTAGTTCTAAAACTAGCCAATCACAGTCATTCCATTCTCAGAGGCATAGTCGTGATTGGTCAGTTTTACTAAGGGTGACGTATAACGTAGTTCATTCGCAGCTAAAGCTTTCTAGTCTATATATTTTTAAGTCGATGAAACCAAGAGTCATGATGCACGAATATCTAGATAGGATGCTTTCGATCCAAAAGTATTTGAAGCTGTCTTCAAGTGTAAAGGTATTTGTGACGCTGTTCATGATATCATGATGTCGTATGTATATGCATATGCTTTGCAATGAATACATGACACTTGTCACAACGAAGTGTGAATCGAGAATAAAAGGAACGTTACATCATGGATGGTGATCAAACGAAAAACGCAAACTCTCAATTTATATCCTTCCACGATTTTCCAACGATAAGCCATGCCAGCAATTCTGAAGGACAGCTAAACACTGGGACTTCCACTCATCAGCCTTTCAATAACCTGTCAAATGATTCTACTGGTATCGGCATCATAGAAGATCTACAAGGAATTCCCGATAAAACCAACGGTTCATAATTGTGTTTCTAGAAAAATTTCTATTTTATTTTATATATATCGATAAATAAATCTTATTTTTAATTTACATGGAACTTAAATTAAACGAAGTCTTGTTTTTTTTTCTAGCTGCTCAACGCAACTTTTGGACAGTCGAATATTATCAAAAATTCTTTAACGTCAATACAAACGATGTATTGGAAAGACTCAAGCGATCCATGATACCACACGGTAGCGATAATTATCTTATAACGCACATAAGACCAAACCCAGACTTGTATGGACCCTTCTGGATATGTGTGACTTTGGTATTTTCCATTGCAATCAGCGGGAATATGGTAAACTATTTGCAAACTGCCAATTCTGCCAAGTATCATTGGAAATACGATTTTCATGTCGTTTCATACGCAGCCACTTGTATATTTTTATATGCATGGCTTCTACCATTAGCTCTATGGGGTGCATTAAAATGGACATATAGTTCCAGAAATACGGAAGAAGAACTAATTGAGGTTTGTTATACAACATTCCTTTTTGCTTTAATCTCTTGCATTACTTATTACATTATCGCATAACCTTTGTTTTTCAGTCTTACGCTGCCCCAGGACTTTTAGAGCTTTTATGTCTATATGGATATTCCTTAAGCATTTATATCCCGATGGCTTTTCTATGGGCAATTCAAATTGGCTGGTTACAATGGAGTCTAGTCATACTAGCAACATTTTTATCTGGAGGTGTTTTGTTACGATCATTGTTACCAGTGATTGCAGGTAAAGGATATACTGCTGTCATTAAAATACATAGAAACTAAAAGAATAGTTTATTAAGTGAAATAAGTTAATCTGACAAATAAAAAATGTGTAATGTAATAGGTGAAATAAATAACTAAAATAATTGATTTTACAGGTAAACATAGAATTATATATATTGTCGTAATTCTGGGTATGCATTTACTGCTAGCAGCAGGGTTTATGTTGTATTACTTCCATGCATCTAAGAACACCGTATCAGCCGTGGCTGGACTATTAGCTTCCTCTACGCAAACCAATGTGCTACATAAAATAGCACAAAATAATAGTTATGTAGGATCTACATCATCTTAAAACGTCTCTAGATGCAGATCTGACTGTAGAGCGATCTTTGTGACTATCAGGAAGAAATTTGTCTATATTTGCGTATGTATATCGGATATTATTTCATTTAAAAGAATATAATATATAGCGCCGATTTTTTTTATATATACCAATCAATGAATAAATA